CCTGTTATTTTGGTACCCATTCTCCTTCCTTTCTCTACCTCTCCTCCTTCCTACCTTTGCTAGCCTGTAGTAACCCATTATATTCTCTATTACCATGTGATCAACATGTTTCGCTTTTACAAATGAGAATATGCATTACTTGTGAGTCTGTGCTTGGCTTATTTCACTAAACAAAATGTTTTCCAGATTCAACCATGATGCTGCAAACTGACAGGAATTAATCCTTTTTATGCCTGGATATGCTTTCATTGTGTATCTATGACTAATTTTCTTTATCAAGTCATCCATTAATGAACGTATCAGTTGATGTCATATGTTGGATATTGTGAAGTGCTGCAACAAGCCAGGCACAGTAGCTCACACTTACATAATCCTGAATACTCTGGAGGCAGAGATCAGGAGAATGGCAGTTTGAGGACAGCCTGAGTAAAAAAATTAGTGAGACCTCATCTCGACCAATAAATCTGGGCATGGTGTTGCATGCCTATTCTACCAGTTATGCAAAAGGTTTAAATAGGAGGATGGTGAGGTCCAGGCTACACCAGGCAAAAACATGAGACCCTATTCAAAAAATAACTAAAACAAAAAGGGCTGGAAAGTATGGCTCAAGTGGTAGAGCACCTGCCCAGCAAGTGGGAGGTCCTAAACTTAAACCCCAGTTACCACCCCTTGCCCCCAAAAATGTTGCAACAAACACGGTAGTGTAGGTATCTCTTTGCTATAATTTCATTTCCTTTAGGATTGTTAGATAATATGGTAGCTCCATTTTCAGTTTTTTTTTTGGTGGTACTGGGGTTTGAACTCAGGGCTTCAGGCTTGCTAGGCAGGCGTTCTCCCACTGAAGCCACTTCACCAGCCCATTCTGTTTCTCATGATTGTACTAATTTACATTCTCACCAACAATACATAAGAGAGAACGCTTCTTCTCTGCAACCTCACCAGGATTGTTTTGGTCAAAACAGTCATTCTAACTGTGGTGACATATCTCACTGTGGTTCTGACTTGCCTTTCCTTGATGATTAGAGGTACTGAACATTTTTTCATATACTTGTTGCATTTTCAGATTTAACAAATGACAGTGATGGTTACAAAGAAAATACTGTGAACGTACCTAGTCACACTCTTTACTCATATCTTTAAAAATGATCACAATGGTAATTCTTATGTGTATTTTACCATAATTAAAGAAAACCACTTCCCCACATGGGTAAAGCCCATCACAATAACCGTAGTACTACATGGCAAGAAGTACACTATGATGCATTCTTCCTTTGGTCAAGCTGTTTTGAGTTTAAACAAAAGGAACTCATGGTTGAACATACAGAGTTCCAGCTATAATATTCAATAAGCAATAAGCAACTAAGGCCCTGCTTTTCTCAGAAAGAAATGGACAGTGGAGAAGAAAAAAGTGTGCTCCTCCCATAATTTTCCTCATTATACTGCGTGGTCACAAATTCTTTTACATTCTTCCCATTGGGAAGTGAGTCTTCTGACCCCACCTCTTAAATTTGGGCAAGTTAAGACTGCTTGACCATTAGAATATTGAAGAAGTGACACTGGGTCAGTTTGGGACCTAGGATTTAAAAAGCTGGTAGCAGCTGAGCATAGTAATGCACACCTGTAATATCAGCACTGAGGAGGTGGAGGCAGGAAGTTCACCAGTTCCAGACAAGACAGGGTTATATACCAAGACACTGTCTCAAAAAATCCAAGGGCTGGGGATGTAGCTCAGTGGTTGAGTGCTTGCCTAGTATGCACCAGGCCCTGGCTTTGATCTTCAGTACCACAAAAATAAATGAACACATAACTGCACTCAATTTTAACAGCCATATGAATGAGCCCTCTTGAAAGTAAAGTTTCCAGTCAAGTCACTGCAACTGCATTCACCAAAACCCTACCAAAATTGCTCATTCATGAACAAACAAAATGATTTGCTTCCCAAGTCACCAGACTGTAGTGTATTTACAAAACAGTAGATAACCATGACAGTGGAAATCCTCTCTACTTTCTGAAATAGAAGAACCAAATATGTTAGAGTAACTTTTAAAAAAATCTAGTCTGAATGCACAAGTAATGACTATACATCACATTAAAGAACCTGGCTCCACAACTCATCTTTGCTCTTTTGAAGGAAACTGTATGAAGAGCTCGTAGTCCTATTCTAAGAATAGAGTGGAACTATAAATGGAAAGTGTGCTTCATCACTGTACCAGCTTTATAGGAAACCCCAATTTTGCTCTACTCAGTCAAACACAAATGGTGAAAACGGGATGCTTTTCCTCTACTTTAGAAAAGATTAGCCACAAAGTAGTTTAGATGGGCTAGGCAGGTACCACTTTTGTAGTCTTTTTTTGGGGGGTGGGATGGGGCTAGAGTGGGTTTGAAGTCAGGGCTTCATGCTTGCAAAGCAAGTTCTATGGCTTGAGCCACACCTCTAGTCCGTTTTTGTCTGGTTACTTTGGAGATGGGGTGTCATGAATTATTTGCCTGGGCTGGACTCTAGTTGCGATCCTCCTGATCTCAACCTCCCAAGTAGCTAGGATTACATGCGTAAACCACTGGCACCAGGCTTAGGTATACTTTTTATTGACAGTAACAGGCAAACAGTAGACCAGCTCAGGAAAATGATGGTTGGAAAGCCAAAACCTTTCCTTTATACCTCATATAACAAAGGTGCTAATATGTTATTTTAAAAAAGGAAAAAAACAAACAAAAGCCTATTAAAAAAATCAAAAGCTAGAAGTAATTCCTTTCTCTCTGTACTTGCCAGTAGAAAACACAAATCCCTCCCCTACATACACATTGATCATTAGAATATAAACAAGCTGTATTTCCCATTTTGAAAGAAAACAAAAGTCAAACTTCTACACTACTACTGCACCCCATCTGTCTACAGTTAGAGAAAAAAATGGATGGAGGTGTGGTTCAAGTCACATCTGGGTGTACCTGCCCAAGCAAGCGAAAGCCCGAGTTCAAACCACAGTACCACCAACATCTCCCCCCAAAAAACCTGAAAACAAAAAATACCTCCCTGGTCTGCTCAACTATAATTTTACCCCACCACACTAAACTTCCTTAGGTGTAGCCATGAAGGTGTTTCCCTTTACCAATCCAAAGCATAGCATTCAAAGGACAGTGACAATGAGTACATGAAACAGCAGCATTTAACACAATACCTTAAACCTATCTCCTTGTGACTAAGTTTCTTAACTTGCTTCAGGACCACTCTTGGTTCTCACCTTGTATCTATCCTTTATCTACTTTGCAGCTCCAATTGCCCTCTCAACACTTCCACTTATATGTTCAATCAAGTACATTCAACTTATGTCAAAACCAAACTTTTTTTTTGGTACTAGGGCTTGAATTCAGAGCCTACACCTTGAGCATGTGATGGGTTTTTTCAAGATAGGGTCTCGCAAACTATTTACGTGGGCTGGCTTCGAACCAGCCTCCTGGACTCTGCCTCTGAGTAGCTAAGATTACAGATGCAAGCCACTGGAACCCAGCACCAAACTTGTTTTATAGTCTCCTTGTATATTACTCTGCTTTGTTCACCTTGACTCCTTTCTTGCTCTTAATCTCAAACTTCTCTTATCAGTAAATCCTATTGGCTCTACCTTCAATCATTCCCCAAATCTACTTCTTACCATCTCTACTACCAGCCCAGCCCAAGTGTCTATAATGTAACCCTGCTTCTACCCTGGCTAACCTAGCCCAATGGTTCTCAACTAGAAATTTGTCAGAAATGCATATTCTGCCCCAACCCCACAACTAATAATCACAAACTCTAGGAGACACAAACTTCATGTGTTAAACATCCTCAATGTCAAACACTATCAATAGATACTCAGTAAATGAGGACTTTATAAAGCAATGGATGTCTATGAAAAAAAGAGAAATCAAGTAAGATCACTTGATGTCACTTAAGTAATTGCCAAGACAATTTCAGAGCAGAACATGAAAATAAAACAGAACAAAACACTGTAAGATGAATGACAGGAAAAGAATGTGGTAGTTCATGGTAAAGGCTAAGCAGTTCAAATAAAAAGAAATCAACCACTGGGTTGTAAAACTTAGACAGCCTTCAGAACTGAACACAGAAAGAATGGTAGGCTTTACACAAGACAAAGAAAAAGAATGAGTATCATGTACAGCACCAGAAAAGGGAAAATTCAGAACTTTTCCCATAGTATGTTCACTGGATATAGCATTATCTCAAAAAACAGTCAAGTGAGAGGGGCAGTCTTCTAAGATTAGAAAAGGCTGGATTAAACAACTTTAAGCAGCCTCTTTTTTTGTTAACTTTTATAGTGCTTAAAATACTAATCTTTTATGAGAGGACGTGTATCATGTGGTATTATCCAGCTTTCACCACAACACCATTTTTGTCATAGGTTAAGTGTGTAGACCTTTTGCTTCACTTTTGTCATTAAAAAACTGTTTTTATCCATTCTGTTGAATTCTATGATTTTCCCATTAAATTAACATAGTAATGATGTCAGATCAAAAGACTGTTTTCATTACTATATTGAAGCCAACCTCAAAATCCAAGATTCTGAATACACAAAAGCCAGCTCTCATTTATCTGATTATTCAATATTTGCTACACTTTGTTTAGGATATAACAAACTTATAACAACGAGAACTTACGTCTTAATTTTTGGTGCTTTTAAAGAATTTCAAGGGCTGACGGAGTGGCTTGAGTGGTAGAGTGCCTGCCTAGCAATTGTGAGACCCTGAGTTCAAACCCCATTACTAACAAAAGAAAAAATTCAAGTATTGAAGTCCCTTAATTTACAATGGGTTCACTTCTCAATAAACCTATTCTAAGCTGAAAATATTGCTAAGTTGGAAATGCATTTAATATATCTAACCTACCAAATATTCCACCTTAGCAACACACTATCCTAGAGTTAGGTCTTTTACCCTCCTGCTTTGAGTGGCAGGTGTCAGCCTAATAACAGATTATTGTTATGCATACTGCCAGTCTACAAAAAATCAAAATTCAAAATTTGAAACTGGTTTCTACTTGATATGTATAGTTTTCACACCAGAAAAGCCCAAAATTCCTAAGTAGGAGACCATCTGCATTTTGAACCCCTTAATGTGCATATCTAAGATAAACATATTAGAAACAAACAACAACAAAAACCATGCCACTCTAGCAGCTTAAAGGTACTTAAGAGATTGCCTAGTCCAGCACATCCAATAGACCTCAACACCCTGTTTATAATAAAGAAATCATGATGTCTTACTCAAAGTTGAATAATCAGTTGGAATCAAGAGAAAAGTAGAGCCCAGGTCACATTTATTCTTAGTGGGTTACCTTTTTACATACTGTAACACAGTGTATGCAACATTTTAATTGGGAAAGCTTTAAAAATTATTAAGGAATAACCTAAATTGTGTTAAAATCTGGGATAAATCAGCTCCAATAGCCTTTAAATAGATATGTTTAGTAAAAGTAAAATGAAGACATTTTTTTCCTTTCTACAAAAGAGGCAAGACAAACCAAGTGTGAAAGCTAGAGATTTATTGTTATTTTGTGATTAATAAATTGTCAAATTGCTTATGACACTGTCCCACACCATTCACCAGTACAAAAATCATTAAAGACACATGAATACCATTCTTAACAACCTCCTTTAATCATGCCTCCACCCTGACCTTTGTACATGCTTTCCTCCTGGGGAAAGTGTCAGAACAGTGCATGGACTGGTGGGCAACCTGGCCTCCTGACCATTTTAAATAGCAAGCAACTTATAGAAGTAATAGAATTCAACTTGTTTTTCCCCCTTGATTTTATTGGTCTGAACTCATTTTAGGTTGAACCATTGTAATTTCCTGTAACTGTACACGAGAGAATATAATGACCTAAGAGAATACTGAACCAGAGTCAGTCAAATATATTACTGACCTTAAAGTTATGTTTTAATTGGTCCTAAAGGAATGTGCCACCCCAATAGTTTGAGTGTTAGGCAAACAGAACTTCTCTGGAGAGGAAATTAAAAGACTGATCTATAGATCAGCAGATCAATAGATCAAATGTACTCAACATTGTTTAAACGGCTCTTTTGTTTTTCACCCCAAATGATACTTCATTACTACACTATATGCACAGAAATCCTAACAGAATCTTGGTTGCCAGTATTATTAGTTTAGGCTGGCCCAATCCAGGATAGATTCCGTCTCACCCCCCTCCCATCCCCATTCTTCGAGGCTCTGAAAAGCACAATATTTAACTATTTAATAGAACTATCCAAACACTTCAGAAACAAGTGGCTCACAAATCATTTTAAGTTCATGTACTGCCTGTGGATGAGAAAACTGATAAACCCAAAAGATAGTCCTATTTTCATGTGACAATTAAAAACTGAAACATCAATACTTTCAGTGAAAGCAACATTTCTTGTAATGCCTGTTAAACTACCTATGGGAGAAGCTGAAAAGTCCTAGGCAAATGTATTTTGGGGTATACTACACTGCTCCTTCAGTTTGCCCAAAGATTAAGGTAATTTACAGTCAATTTGTGAATGCTGAGACAACTTTTTACATTATGTTGTCTGTACAATTAAATGTCCCTAAACAGATTACCAGAGTTAGCTTTTCTTTATTTTCAACAAACCTGACTAACTGCACTTCTGCTGAAAGATGTTTATTAAGATGCTGTAAGATTGTATACAACTAGGAAATACTTAACTTTTACGAATACTTCATTATCTTCACATTTTTTGGTTACAGGTGTTTTGTTCAGATAACCTATGTAGTATGCTTCCAGAAATGCAATCCCAAATATGCATACTCTGTATTGTATACAAATGAAGCAAAAACTGTCAGTAGTATAAATCTTACAGCATTATTTGCAAAAATACATGCCAAAGTTACAATAAGTAATATTGTACCACAAATTATAGAGCGCAAATGATTTGCTTCTTTTTAATGCTTTTATTCTACATAAATTACTACCACAGGCTAATGGTTAAAAAGCAAATAAATTGGACAGATGCAGGACAAGATCTGTTCACCCAATTATAAAAGGTGATGGTTTTAAAAAATTACAATAAATGCAGAAGTGTTTAATGCATGCAGTAGCTTTAAATGAAAAAGCATTGATTCCCACTGTTCCAAAAAAGAAAAAAAATACAGAAAAACCCACACATCTAACTGCACTCCACCTTAAAATGCATCCTATTGGGTTTGTTTATAACAGCACAGAATTCCAAGAGTAAAATGAAATAAAGCAGGTATTTTAAAGATTTAAGAGCCGTTATCAAAAATAAATTACATTTTTTCCCAAGATACAGAAATGCTGCTATGATGGTTGGGAGCCCAATAACCTTTCAATAGCTGCATTGATATCACCTCCTGTTGCTATCAGCGCTTGCAAGTTTGCTTCACGGTTCAAAAATCCCATTGCACTGAGTTGCTCCAACTGTTGCTGAAATCTGACTTCTGGATTCTGTAGCTGTTTTAAAAAAAAGGAAAACAAAAATTATTGAAATCTAAGGTCAACCAGTCCATGCCACACATAAATAACTTTAAAAAATCTTCACTGCTTTTCAAATAACATATGCTGATCTACTGAGGTTTAAAAGCACTGCCTGTCTCTTGAAACATATCCAACATATTTAAAGGTCAATTACCATCTTATTTTAGCCTAGTTTATGCCTGTACTATCATGTCAAACAGATCACATAATTTTGCCTTAAGGAAAGGCTTACAGGCCAGGGATAGGCATAAGGCCCAGGGTTCAATCCCTGGCTTCCCCCACCCCCCAACAATACTTAATAAACTCTGTTACTTTAGAAGTTCATGAGCATGCAGAAAAACTTAATCTTTCTGCAGAAATGATTTTAAACAAATACACATGACATTTCCAATCAATCCAAGCCACTCTGGTTAATGGAGAGGTTGTTAGGTTATTAAACTTATATTAACAATTCTAATACCCAAAACCTTTTCTTTCTTATTAATCCCATGAACAGTTATTGACTACCTACCATAAGCCAGAAACTATGCCAGATATCAAAAATATCACTTTTCCATGTGGGTGACCTATTATAATAGGTTTGAAATAGCAACTATCTTTATCTAATGATAGATTCTTAATAAAGTCAGTGTTTACAAATGAATGAACATTACAGGGGAGGTGTCAATATTTTTTTGAGCCATACATATGTAATACTAGTTTATCACAGGAAGTGGGGTAGTGGATGGGGTTAGCATTTTTTGCAAAGAAAAAGAATACAGCTGTCCTGAAGGTACTAAGGACAATCAGGTTTCTATTCCACCCTGACAAACTTTTATAAAACAATACCTGTTTCAAACAGGGACTTCAAAAAAATCCATTTTAAAAGGCTGTGTCTGAAAATATGACATTTGGGCTCAAGCATCCTTCCACACAATAATATTTCCTTCAGTATCTAATAAAGCACAAAACTTAACATCTGTAATGCCTGTTTTTAGATCCAGTATCCTTAAAACTGTATTTTTCATTAGTTTAAATGCAAAATGGCTGCTGCTTTCCTTTTCCTTTTTAGAAATTTCCAAATTCCTAATATTAAGGAATGCAAAACTTTAGCAGAAAAGAATTGTTACCTGAGGATTTACTCCAGCAAGAGCCTGCAGCATTTGTTGAATAAACTGCTGGTGTCCAGGTTCAGTAGTTCCTGTTGTGGGACTTGTGTTTTCACTAGGTGCAGCACTAGATCCATTGGTTCCTGAAGAGGCCCCAGTGCTTCCTAATGCCCCCAAGCCAGGAGTAAACCTAGGGAAAACACAAGTAAGTGACAAACTTCAGCTCTTACAAAACTAGAGGCCAACTAAAACCAGGTGGCAAATCAATTATATTTTAACATAATATTGGCTAAATTATCTTTTTAAAATAAGCATTTTGTAATTTTGAACACTAACTAAAAACAACCTTCTTAACATCACTAACAAACGACACTAAATCTGAAAGTCTCAGAGAAAGTAACTATTACAGACTGAAATAAGCATACCCTGGGATGAGGCCGGGGGCTTCTGTTGCTAATGTCTGTAAACCCTGCTGAATTTGTAACAAGGCCTGCATTGCTCTAGGGTTTGACATTGCTGATAGTGTATCAGGATTCTGCATCTAAGGAAGAAGAAGAAAAAAAAAGTGTCACAAGAGGAATAAAATCAATGAAGATATAATTTAAAAAAATAAAATCTCTACTATGTTTTAGGGAGAAAAATCTAAAACCTTTCTCTCAGACACTGGTAATCCATAATTTCTCTCAGACACTGGTAATCCATAATTTCTTATCCAAAACAGAAATCATCTTTTTTGACAGCAAACCTAGTATGCGAATCATGACTTGTCCTCCATCCCAAGTCAATCATAAAAGCCATTTTCATAATGAAGACAATGAGAAGCTACTCTGGAAGCTACAATGGTTCCCTTCTCCAACAGAAGAAAAAAGAATTATTTCTAAAAAACAACTTCAAATGCACAATAGTACATGATAACATAATGGAAGCCACATACTCCTCATGACCAAGTGTTATCCCTTGCTAATGTGACAATCTTACCAATGATATACACACTAAAACAATAGTTCCAAATTTGAAGTTAATACATGTGTCCTGAGTTTAGCTCCACTACTTCCAAATATCCACCACCTAACAGACCAAAAAAGTAAGCTTACATCACTACAGTAGATCAAAGACACTAACTAACCATGGAGAAATCGTTTACAACCCCCAAAAACATTTACATCATATATAAATCCCTAAAACTACCAGTTTCGAAAAAAACCAAGACTGAATTTTCTTTGTATCTTTTTAAATGCAAAATACCATGGCAATCTCAGGTACTTTTTAAAAAAAACAAAACCTCCCTTAAATGACAACAATGACAATTTTAATCTTAGTAATTCTGGGTTTGAGGAAATGAGGTCTACCCCTTAGAAAAATATTCTACTAATATGAAAGAAAATATAACGAAACCAAAACTGATTTTGGAATAGGGTAGTTCTTTCCTGTCACTCGAGATCAGTTAAACCATAAAGTGTAACATGACGCAAGGAAGCACTTCAAAGTTAGTAAAGTGGAAGAAAATGGTTCATGGTATTAACAAAGCATTCAAAATCTTAGATCCTCAAAAGCAAAAACAAAATCGTTCTTTCCTCAGAATTTATATTTAAGAAATAAACATAAAAGGTCAGAAGTGAAATGGGGCTAAGGTAAGATCAAGCTGAATTCTCTGCAAATTGACAGCATTATCATACTTTTTGTGTGTGTGTTTTGCTATCGGCCAGAGAAGAGCAAGGAAAATTTTCATCAAACTTTTTCAAGCAAATCATATCGAAGATAGCTAGCATCTTTTCTTACTCACTTGTTGGAGGAAAGTTGGGAGCTGTTGTCTCATTTGTTCTTGAAGCTGAGGATTTCCAGCAAATAGGGGATTATTCAGCATCATCTATGGGGCAAGTGTTCAACAATTTTAACTGGAAATATCTGAAAGAAGTAATGTACCTTGTTTAACAGTCTATCTTCCTCTAAGTGCCTAAGCTGGCACTTGAAAGGGAGGAAGGTAGAACATAAGTAAAAGAGGACAATGGAAAATTCTTTCCATAACACAGATCTCCAAAATACAAAAAATGAGGCATCTTCTCTCTCAATAAGAATGGTGAATATGATAATGACATGCAGTATCTTAAAAAACAAAAGCAATCATTTTCTTAGGCTTTTCCTTAAGCAAAGATTTTTTTTTTTTTTTGCCTTTGAAAGAAAAATGGGAGTAGCTAACACTCATGGGAGTACATTTTCTACTACATTGACAGAATAAACATAAACCTCAATACATAAAAAAAAAAAAAAAACTATATACATTGCTTGCTTAGAAACCTCAACACACAAATGGCAAGCATGCAGAAAATCCAGATCTGGAGCCACTTATCTACTTGCCTACTACAGAACAGCTAACATTAGGTCCAGGAAAATACCACCACAAAACAGCAAGCAACTTGCCAGAAAAATGGAGTGCTAGGCGAAAAACACCCAAAACTAGTACCAACAGTCCTCTGGGGGAAAGAGTTAAAATGCTTTAAGACCCGAAAGATGTAAATCTATTTGAGAACACCGAGATAAGCATCTAGATTTCATCTTACTACCACCATAGATGAGAAAAGTGGCACAGTCCACTAAACCTTCAAATAGGTGTTAATAATTAAGTCAGGGCTAATATTAACATGATGTTGGATACCTAAAAATAATACAATACACAATCAGCAAAACCAGAAACTAATAAATTCTCTCAGCCTCAAAAAGGACAAATATTATATCACTTTCCCCAAAGTGAAAAGTAAACTAACAATGATTTACTGCTAGCCTATTTACCTGTCCAATGTCTGGGAAGAAAATGATGCTTGCCCTCAATTAGTTAATGACATTTAAAAGCAATCTACACACAAATGCTAGAAGAAAAGAGAAATCCTGCCTCCTAGTTTAGCTACTGTTGAAAAGTGGATCATTTAATTTGAACACAATATACAATAATCAAAGCAGGGAAAAGGCAATGTTTTATGGGTATATAGTATTTATTTCAAAATGACCAATAAGTTCACATTAAATAAAGTAATACCTACTTGAGGTCTACAAACCTGCTACTTTAAAAGTTCCATTCAAATATTTCTTGATTATGAACATATTAATGAGGTTATATTTACTTTTCAAGATTTATGACACTTAAGTAATCTAGAAAAGGCATGCCATCTTAAATTTATTTTTTCTCAAAAAATCATCTAGTTTAATATTTCTAACTTACCTCACTTTGTGTCACAGTTAGTAGGCTTTTTATATGTAAGACTTTTTTTAATATTTAAAAATCAAAAGAAAAAACCAGAAACTTTAATCTTCTGATAACAGAATACACTGAACATTTTAGCTTTAAACACTAACAAATATGGCTCTGAATAACTAAACTCAGGAATTTAATGCTAGTAATGGAGTCTGAGAGCTTTCATATGAATAAAATTCTTTCATAAAAATGTACTTGCAATGCAAAAATTTTTAAATACAAAAATTATCTTAAAAACTTGATCTTTAATTATTTCAAATTCTATGTTATTGAGACTTTAACTTCAAAGACACCTGCTTTATACTTATTAGTATGGCTCTGAAATTTAATAGACAAAAATAACTTCATCTGACAGAATGAAGTAATTCAAGGCTTTTAAAATTGAAGACTTAGATTAACTATGATGTATTTCGGGTTCCCACCACTCAACTGAAGCCATTTCAGTAAGCAGTAAATATAAAGTGCGGATGATCAAGTCTTGTTTCACATCCTCCATAGCTTTTCCTGCCTACAGGTGATAAATCTAGGTGAAACATCAGCAACCCAAGTGCTGAATGCATGGTTCAAGTGGTAGATCACCTGCCTAGAAAGCACAAGGTCCAGTACTAGAAAAATATTAAAGCTCCCCAAGTAATCCTGAATGTTTCAGTCAGTGTTGAGATCCACTAATTTTTTCAATTATGTCCCTTCAGAAACAAATTAGAAAATAAATAAATTAACAAAAGATCAGTATACTAGCCGGATGCAGGTAGCTCACGCATGTAATCCTAGCTACTTAACTATTTCAGAGGCAGAGATCAGGAGGATTGCAGCCAGCCTGGGCAAATAGTTCATGAGACTCTATCTCAAAAGTACCTGGCAGAGTGGCTCAAGTGATAGAGTGCCTGCCTAGCAAGTGTGAGGCCCTGGGTTCAAACCCTTGCACCACCAAAACAAAACAAAAAACCACCAGTATGCTAATAGGGTATGTGTGTATGTATATGTGCATGGAAAGAATGGGAACACTGTTCCTTTAAGTCTGCCTTCTACATTAAATGAACAGTTTCAGGCTATACCACACATGTCGTGTTCAGCATGACTATTACAATCTTACTCATCTAATACATAAAAGTATTTCAAACACTGATACTGCTCTTAATTGCTTTCAAAATTCCCATTTCACAGAAGATTCTATCTTCATGAGAGCAATTCCAAACTTCTATACTCATCTCCTTACTCAACTTATGTAGATTCTGTAAACCTGTACTTGTTCTAATCAATAAACAGCAGAGATGAAGTTGTTCTGATTGTATATGAAATAAACTGTGCTCCCAAAAATTAAAGATGCAGTTTACCTACGTTTCTAGTGTTGAAATGTCATAATAAAATGTGCCTGGATCAAAATTATTGGACTACTCAGTTCACAATGCAGTTTTTTTCTTTTTTTAAATATAATTACAAACTCACCTGTGCAGCAAGGTCAGGGTTCTGGCTGAGTGACTGCATCATGCTTCTCATGTATGGGGCAGATAACATGTTTTGCATAAGCTGTGGGTTTTCAGTTATTTGCTGCAACAAACTCTGCATTCCTGGTGTGTTGAACATACTAGCTGAAAATTTATTAAAAAAAAGAAAAAGACACTGTGCTAAGGAAAACACATATTAACAGAAGTGAGTGATTTAAAATATAATACATACTCTGCTAAAATTTTAGTAATTGCAACTAAGTACAGTAATTTCCCCTTATCCACAGATTCACTTTACAGTTTTGGTTACCTACCCATGGTCAACCCAAAATATTAACTGGAAAATTCTAGAAATAAACAGTTCTTAATTTTTAAATCACGCTGTTCTGAGCAGCATTATGAAATCCATGCTGCCCTGCTTCATTTCTTTGTCCAGCATATCTATACTATATGTGTTAGCCACCCATTAGTCACTTAGTAGCTAACTCATTACTTAATAATGGCTCTAAAGCACAAGAATCGTGCTTTGGCAATTCAAAAGTGCCAAAGAGAAGCTCTAAAGTGTGCAATCTTTCAATGCAACGATGAAAGCTTTTGACATAGTAAGAGAAAAAAAATCACATGCTGAAGCTGCTAAGATCAACAGTAAGAAAAAAAATTCTCTTGACTCCATGAAATTGTGAAGGATAAAAAAAATTCATGTTAGTTTTGCTGTTGCTCCTCAAACCACAGACAGCAATACTGGCCACAGATAGTGCTAATTGCTTAGTTAGAGTGGAAAAAGACATTAAATTTGTGCAAGTAAGTGTAAGGAAAAAATGTGGCATTAGTGATTAGTACTTTCTGTACTTTTACGCATCTACTGGGGGTCTTGGAATGTAAGCCTGTAGGAGGAGGTATTACTGTGTACATATTATTTATCAATTGAACTAAAAAACAAATTTTAAACTAAGATCACCAAAAGTACATGTCAAACATATACCCGAGTAAAAGAAGAATTATGATTTTAAAATCACATTTAATGGCAGGACTAGATTTTAAAGTCAATTTAAGGCAAAAATTAGGTATGTTCAAATTACTGTTGAAAAATCCCACACAGAAATCTGAGCCACAGTCTGAGCCAACTTTTCCTCCAGGATTGCAAAAGATCACTTAATTAGTATCATATTCAGCAGTCAATAGTGTTCACACTTAAGCATGAAGGGAATAAAGATGCAAAATCTCAGTCCCATTGTCACTGAGTGAAATGTGGGCATATTTAACATTTGAGACCTTACAGCATCTAAAAGCAGTATCTGGAGCCAGATTACCTGAATTCAAATCCAACCTAACTATGCAACCTTGGGCAAGTTATTTAGCTTCTTCATACTTCCATTTCCCCGTCTGTAAAATGGAGAAAATAGCATCTACTTCATAGGATGGTTGTGACAATTCAATTAATGTGTAAAGTGCTTGTTACAACTATTCTTGTGTTTTTCTTTTTTGATGAAAGCTGCAGCTGAGTTTATATGAAAATTCAAAATGGGATGACATAATTATTTATATAAGCAAATTTGCTTTGAAAACCATTTGTTAAACTTATATCCAGATTTTCAATTGCTAAATGGATATACTCAAACTCAAACGTATTCTAAAACTCATTATGTCAAGTAAACTCATTAACTTTTTCATTTCCCTTTTGTTCTTCCATCTAATGTACTTTTTATTAGGCTTAAAACATTTGACTCTTTCCACTTATCTTTCTAGTTTCTTGCAACTGCTGCTTATAATAATTTTTACTTTTTCTCTTTTCTCAAATTGAGTGTTTCAATTCATTTTTTTCCACATCTAATGAAAAGAAAGGGCTGGGTGTGGTGGCTCACAATCTGTAATCCCAGCGTCTCCAGAGGCAAATATGGGAAGGATCACAATTCAAGGTCAGGCCTGGCACAAAGTTAGTGACTCCATCTCAGCAAACAAGACAGGCAATAGTGTCACACACTTGTCATCTCAGCTATGAGGTAGACATAGGTAGGAGGATTATGGTCTCAGGCCTCCAGACAAACATATGAGAGACTCTTCCCAAAAAAATAGTTAAAACAAAAAAGGGTTGGGAACATGGCTCAAATGGTAAAGTACCTGCCTAGCATGTACGAAACCCTGAGTTCAATTCCCAGTACTGACGAAAGAAAAAGAATCTAATGAAAAATATTTTGTAAAACATGGAAACTATCTGAAACAAATTTCAGTGTCTATATAAACCATTCTGTTGAAGAGTCATGCTGAATCATTTATTGTCTATGGCTATGCTTTTGTGCTAGAAAGCAGAGGTAGAGAGTATTTATGACAGACTGTACTGTTGTTTGGCATACCACAAACCACAAATTAGTGTCAGTTATAGTTCATGCTATATGAAATCACTCTAGCATCTTGTTTTCCTTAATTACCAGTGTATACCAATCATATAAGAAGAAAAACGGAAGAAGGAATAGACTACAAATATGCTTTTAAGGCACAGTGGAATATGGATTACTTTATCAAATGAGATGGAAAAACACTGTGTTTATTACGTAATGTCACTAAAGAATACAATATTGCCAGAATAAGCACTTATAATATTCCAGACTAGTATGGTGGTGTGCCTGTCTTATCACAGCACTCGTAAACTGAGGCAAGAAGATGGCAACTTTTAAGCCAGCCTAGAATATACAGTGAGACCCAGTCTCAAAAAAACAAAATCCCCAAAACCAACATTCCCCACTCACAGGAAAGCAATGGTCAGAAAAATTACAAAATTAAAATGAAAGGCTGCAATCAAAGTTTTCAAATGGCTTGTTAGCCAATCAAGGAAAGTCTTGTACTAGATTAGCTAATTGCAGCAGCCAAATGTGCTCTGAGAAGACAAACCTAAGTCTATTTGCCTTTGAGGGAGAACAGTTTCTTTCTCAGAATTAAGGGCACCAATATTCAATTCATTAACAACACAAATGATTTTGAATGGCATTTCTTGATTCTTGATGGGTCAACAGATGTTACTGATACTGTTCAGTTCTAGTTTATTTGGAGAGCCAAGGTCAAGTCTGAAGTAGCTGAAAAATTAACTTCTAAAAAGATCTGCATTGGGGCAGTGGATGTAGCTCAGTGATTTAGTTTCAATTCCCAATACCACAAAAAAAGACCTGCATAGAACAACTAAAGTGAGACTATTTCCAGAGAAACTAAGGATTGAGAGTTCAAGGTCAGCCTGGGCTACATATCAAGACCTCGTCCCCCAAACAAACAAAATAACAAAAAGAGAAGCAATCTGCTAAGGTGCACTATATTTGCTATTTGCAAAAATGTGTAATATGTGTGGAGAATTAAAAAGCATTTGGTTGGACAAATTTACAAAGCTTATAAAAACATAAGGTAGGGCTGGAGGGTGGCTTAAGTGGTAGAGTACTTGCATAGCAAGGGCCAGGCCTGGCCTTGAGTTTGAACCCCAGTGCTGCCAAGAAACCAAAAAAAAACAAGGTATTTGTTTCATTCATCAGCAGGGACTTTGAAAAATATTGTATTTGTATTCTACCTTGTTATTGAACCAGTAGGAGTATCAATGGTGAATATCATTTACTCTAATAATTTTATCCAGTCAACTCCATGAATTTTTGTCAGAAATATTTCAATATCCTGACATGCTCAAACAAAAAGCATAGAAGAGCTTAGAAGAAGTAAAATTTCATTGCTAGTATTTTATTATTAGTTCATGGCTGTGATATTTTCCTAAATGAGAACTACCCAACAAACATTACTTTTAACTTTGGAAATTACCTTTTTCTAGAGACTTGATGTTTCTCAATGAATTTACCCTTCACATGTGAAACTCACTATAATACAGTCATTTTGATAGAACTGTTGGATTACAAGCAATGTCAAGCTGTTTTATATGCTTTTTGTGCCATCAAAAATTACAAGTAACCAGATCTTTGTTCTCACAAATGTCCAGGTTTACTTTTGAGCTCACACTTCCAGCATCATTTTTTAGACCTTATTTCAAGTGCAAAGGTAAGTCCATGTTTTAAAATTCATTAAGCTGTATAATTGAGGAGCTACCACTTCACTTTCCATTTCAAGTGATTACAACATAATGGCATGCTGAAAGCAAACAACTTATAGAATTCTACAAGCCTTCCACACTGATGGATGTGCCATTAGAATCACATACTTTTAGAATGAGTTGTTTTAAATGAAGTAGTCTCATTACATATCAGTATTAACAGATTAGTATCCACAATTTTGGTAAACAGAACACTCAACAAAATGTTATTCCCCAAAATCCATTTCTCTCAGTAGATATGAGGAAAATACTGTTCTCATTTATTACTGTATTTTAATTTCACCAACAAAAGAATTTGTGGAAATTTGGTCTCTGATGATGTAATAGTCTCAATTTTGCCTCTGTGTGCAAAGCCTCAATATATTGTCTGATTCTTTACAAAAAAGTTTTCCAACTCATGCTAAGATGTCATCTAAAGTGTTTACAGGCAAGAGTCAAGAAATTAACATGTGTGTGGAACTTAAGTGTTGAGTAAGAATTATAAGTGTGCAAGTAAGTATGTTGATAATTTGATAGACCAGCAGAATAAGCTGTTTTTGCTGTTTCTTGTTTTCTTTTGATGGAAACATTAACATGAAATATTAGAGTATTAAGCCATTAAATTAAAAACCCAAGTAAAATGTTGAAGATCAGGCTACAGTGGCTCATGCCTGTAATCCCAGCTATGAAGGAGATTGTAGTTAGGATGATTCTGGTCAGAAGCCACCACAGGGCAAAAATTTGAGACCTCATCTGAAAACAATAAAAGCAAAAAGGGATAAGGGTGTGGCTCAGATGATAGACAGCCTGCCTAGTAAGGGTGAAACACTGAGTTCAAATACCAGTACAGCCAAAAAAAGAAATGCTGCAAAATTTTTTGTTAGACAAAA